CGTGAACTGTGCCTTTAATCTGAAAGCTTTCTATCCTTTAAGCATAGAATCATTCTACTTCGCGCCAGAAGTTTATTTTGTTTGGGTTCCTTGGATTTCACAGATTACCTGTACCGCGCTTTCCGATGATCAATGCCGTTAAAGACCCCATGATGAGGTCTAGAATTAAGACTCATTTTTCAACATTTTCAACTATTATCCTTTTCGGCACTTCAGATGCCCCTCATTAGTAGACAGGCACTGGTTTTTCTACACAGTTGTATGGGTTGCTGAGCGGCCAATGAAGAACTCCATTGCAGGAACACCCTTTGACTAACTTTCTTCTTACGAATATGAGGTATGCAGGGGAAGAGGCGTGGACAAGCTGGATTTTTTCTTTTAGAATGACTGAAATCTAAAGTGAAGAGAACCTACAGCTTACAACTCATTCAGGCTGTTTGTCCTGTTTTCACAGTTCAACTGCTGTTAGGTGCTTCTTTTTTACGTGATCTTGCCGAAGTTGGAATTGAAATAACCAAAATTTATTTTGACACACAACGGAGGAAAACGCAAGAATGATTTTGGGTGTCTTTTGAAGAAATTATGATTTTCTTCTCACCCAAAACCTACCACCGTCGTCCGCCCCACTGTCCCATAGGTCCACCCCATGGTCCTCTTGGTCCACCGAATAATGGTCGTCTAAGTCCGCCCCACGGTCCTTTCGGTCCACCCGCTGGTCCCATGGGTCCGCCCCATGGCCGCATAGGTCCACTCCATGGCCCCATAGGTCCACGTGGAGGGAAGCCAATAGGACCCCATGGTCCTGGCCCCATTGGTGGTAGAGGTGGCGGTGGCGGAAATGGGAATCCTGGTCCTGGAGGAAACGGAAATGGTCGAGGCCAATTGGGCGACGTTGTTGTTTGTGGAGCAGTTGCAGGAGTTGTTGTGGGTGTGGTTGTTGCAGTCGTTGTAGGTGTAGTTGTGGGCGTCGTTGACGGTGTAGTTGTCGGTGTGCTTGCTTGGGTAGGTGCCAAGGTTGTCGTAGGTGTAGTTGCCGAGGTCGTTGTAGGTGTAGTTGCTACTGTGGTTGTAGGGTCAGATGCAGAAGTTGCTGTAGTAGCTGACGTGGTGGAGTCCGTGACAGTTGTTGGGGTGGCATCTCCACGTTTCTGAAAAGGCAAATTAAGTTCTTTGCAAGGAACTTTGTTTCCCTGGACACCTGGTTTTACTTTTTGAGTGTTAATTAGGCTAGGGTAATAAAAATCTTCTATGATAAATAACATTCTACAACCCGTTACAATAGTTAGCTTCCCCACATTCATTTGATGTTTCCTAGAAATCGTAGTTCCAACCCTGAGCTGCTGGGCCCATATCCGCTCGCAGTTCAAAGGCCGGAGCAGGAAGTGTGCCAGTGTGACGAGTGCCAAGGAAAACTGATATGATGGATAGAATCCTCTCTACCCGATCGATCAGCAACCTTGCCCAGGACCAGTCTCGAAAACAGAAGACGGAGCTGTACATCATCCAGTTCTGCAGTCTGTTAAAAGGGGTAAGCATCGTGGAGGGCATCATAGGAGGCTGCCTTTGTACTTTTTATTTTTCTTCACTCTTAGGATTTTGTCGCAGTAGATCGAACACTAAAATGTCTCCCTCCAAGACAAGGTTATATTCAAGGTGCTTTCCTCATTGGGATTCCAAAACGCTCCAGACTTACCTGTCTTGGAAGTGCCACAACCGAAGAAGCAACCAGTAAGAGAATATATATGTTCATCTGAAATAGGCAATGTTAACGTAACAATAATGATGAAAGTGATGCTGACAAAACTGAGCTGGATCTGTCAGTTAGGAGCTCCTAGAAGCTCTG